ATGAATGTTGCATATTTTTAAAACAATTCCTTGGAACAATTTCCAGAGAAATAACCTTATTTGTCTTTTGCAGAAGAGTCTTCTAGCTCCTTAGTATTTAAAGTACTTCTTGAGAATATGTCTCCATAAAAACAATGTAACAGACAAACATAGCTGTTCATATTATACATAGACACAACCATATGCACCATATTCACATACAAACATGTTTACATATAAATAGGAAGTGGAGAGATGGCATTGCATCCAAAGAGCTTTCAAATAAGAAAACGCATTATCTTTGGACTATGAATTTGTATATTATTTTGAACAGTACATATTCTTTCATATTCACATTCATATTTCATATTCTTTCTAATAAATGGATCTGCTTACCTCTAAACACTCATATTACAAAGAACATCAATATGCTAAGACAGAACACTTTCTCAAGGCCAAACAAATCATACTACTTAGATCAACTTACCAGCAACAAATATCTAAAACCAAGCATTTAATTTTTCCAGAATGAACTGTATAACACCCACAAACACAGCCACATACAGTATTTATCTCCCGACAGATTGAAACATTTATTTTACCACTGATACATCTAAAAAAATTAACAAGCAAGACAAAATGATCCTTAACTTATATGAAAAAAATATGAAAATATCCCAACTGCTAATGTTTGCCATAAAATGGCCATCATTCATATGTTTGCTACAAGCTTCTCTTGCTAAGATGCGACTTACAAAAAGCCTCTTGACAGTAAGTCTGTGAACCAAATAAACAGTGGGTTTTTTTTTCATTTACTGGAGTGAATTGCTATTTTATTTTAAATATGAAGCTTAGAGAATTTGTAATACTTTTACAGGTAAAAAGATATTTTACTCCAGGTTCATATAATTTGTAAATAAATATAACTATCTTTCTCGTTTTAACTACTTTCTTATTAAGGGGTAACCAAATATTACACTAGCAGAATTACAATGGGGTATTTTGCACTCAAATTGGAATCAAATATTCCTATTACATAGCATTTGAAAATCTAAACTTTTTCTGCGTAGAATATGTTGCGGCAAAATAAGGAAGCTTCCATAACCAACCTTTCCAATACATTCCAATTCTTCATTCTTTTCAATGAAAAGATGTATCCATATTAATATAAATATACAGATCTGATTTTAGTTTCTTCAACTTACTTCTCATCTGTCTATGAAATTATTGTTCCAGTAATGAAGTCATTGTGCTGATGAGAGAATTGAATCCACAATAGGAAAATTGTCACTTATAATAACACTGGTGAGAAGCCAAATAAAGCAGGAGTACAAGATATTTGTGCTTTAATAAGATACTGTAACACAATGAAATTATGTCTCTAATTTTGTTGCAGCAGTAGATGAATTTAAAATTACTGTATAATGGCTCACAGATGAACACACAAACACAGTATTACTCTTTGAACTGGCTGAAAAGATATCTTCAAGAGTTTATCTCTTTTGGATTTGAAACAGGAGAGTAAAATAAATGCTTTTACTCACTTCTGGAATTTTTTTTTATCATTATGCATTACTGCTGTTTTTATATTATAGTCAAGGTCATTTAAAGTATTTTAGCACAGCCCCTAAGAGAAGCTGGAAGAAGGAAAATAACACTTTTTTGGATAAATGTAAAAAACTATTCAATCAGGAAAAAAAGAAAAGGAAAAGTATTTTGTTATTCAACCAATCAATAGGCATTCTTTTCTTACTTTGAAACAGAACTGGACGTGTATGTTTCCATGTGTACATATACAAACGGCTTGGATTTAAATCTGGTCTCTGTCCAAATCAGTAAAGACCAGAAGTTAAAGGTTTCTGAATGCTGTCCACCTATCACTGATCAAAGTGACTTAAAAAAGAGCCTTTGAAAAAAAAAGTTAAAATATATGTTCCTTGAAGTTATCTGCACTTATGTTTGTACACAGAACATTCCTCTCAAAGGATCTGCAGACCAGTTGGGTTTATTTTATTTTATTTTTTTAAGGTACAAAAGTAGAACTAGTATAAGGTTAAATGTCCATTTTTAAAACTTTTGAAACAAGATAGCTGTGAATCTCTAAAACTATATGTTCTAATATATCCCATGAATAACTATCATAGCAAGAATGTCTTATCTCTATATATTCTTCTAAGATGTATAGCAAGTAAATGAAGATACTTGACAGAAGCATATATAAACTTGCTTATATTTATGCAATTGTTTCTTTCTAGTATGTATTCTGAAAAAAATTATCTTAACATAAACTAAGGATTTCTACTGCTCTCCAAGTACCTGTTGGTTTTCTATCAAAGTGCCACATATTTGCTTCAAATTGCCTTTTAAAAAAATTGAAATCTCCTTCCAGGTAGGAATAAAACTTATTTTGTGCATTTCATATAAAATCTATTTTATTAAACTATTCAAAAGTTTTATTTGCAGTGCATGTATCTATTTTACCAATAGTTTTTTTTAAGCTATCAATCACCGTCATACTAAATCAATCATAGGGACAAGGGGGATGAATATGACCCACAGACATAGTATATTTACAAGCAACAAAAAAGTTTATGGTTAAGGCTGTCAGAAATATGTTCAGATGCATAGCAGTTGTAATTGATCAGTTAGATACACTGTATACACAGAAATAGTGTCTTGGAGAAGAATTAGAAATTTAAACACACCATTACCCATGAAGTGGAATCAATTAACTCTTTAAAAAAGAGCAGGGTTTTTTAAAAAAAAGAAAATCAAGATTCTTATATGCATTCAAGCAGACAGCATTCTAACCAACACTGGCACAAAAGCAAAACTTATACTTAAAAAAATATCCATACATTAAGCATTACCACTATTACAATGCTACTGTCTCTGCAAGTGTATTTCAGTGGAATGATCAACACTGAATACAGCATCTGCCATGCCTTCAATCATATACTATACATACTATTATTCCTTTTCCAACAGTCTCAGGAAAATAAACATGACCATATGTGTCCAGTAATGAGGGGGAAAGGAGAAACAAATCTTTATGCCCAACAAAACTAACAACCCCACCCCCAAATTAACAACTGAATAGTGGATGAACTCGCATTTTTCTATCAATTATATTTGTCTGCTTATTTGCCTAGAGTTGTCTCTCTTTTACTTGTTGAACTCTGTAATCTGACATCTACCACTTTCTATTATTCCAAAAACTATGAATGACTTTCTCTACAAAAGTCAAACACTCAATGGGCAGTCTAAGTATGTGGTTCAACAGTAATTTACCAATATGGCTTTAAGTGGGTTAACTCTTGTGTTGCCAAAACAAGAGGAAAAAAATTACTCCAGCTAGAAGTAGTTATAGAAAATGAATGTAAAACTAAGAGTGATGCAATAAACTAATATAAAATGTACTGCATTGGTGTGTAGCATGAAATGTGAGAATTGTTCTTTTCATTTAGTCTCTGTAACATATACGTTGCCTTGTTAGCTTAGGTTGATTATATTTCTGTACAGGAAGCTGGTATCACTTGTAATCAGGGTCCCTCTACAGGATAAATCTAAATATACTTTATTTGAACACAGCCATCCTATGGAAAGTACATGTGATGTTTAAACTCTGTCTGTACACAACTATTCTACGTAATAAACTATATTGGTCCTAGAGGTGTTTTCTTTGTCTTGACTTTCCAAACGATACCAGAATTTGTTTTATCTTTTCACTAAAAGAACAAATCATGTCCCCTTTGCTGCAAGAGCGGTAAAGTGTGAGACATATTCATGTCAATGGAATTCATTCATTAAAAAAAAAAAAAACCCGCTCTGAATAATAAAAACATAGTTTACAACTTTTGATTGCGTCAGCTTCTTGATTAAGGAGATGTGAAACAACTTTTCAAAAGAAGCAATTTAAAAAGAAGAAGGGGGGAACCAAGACGGAACAATTAGCATGTGCTTTATTTTTTTTTAAGTCTTTTTTAGAATTCCTATCTTTTGTTTTAAGCGAGTTTTCAGTGAAATCTCCCCCTCCCCCCACCTTTCAAACTCTGCCTGTGATTATTTCATGCAGTACGTATTTTACACAGAAGAAGCAAAGAATTGCAAAAGAGAAGTCACAGCGTTCTGCCCCCCCAACCCCATCATTAAGAGTTTGGTACCAATACACCTACTAGCTCTGTGATTAATTATCCATTGCTACTGGCCTTGCAAGAGCATTTTCACTTTCCCTGTCCGTACCAGTCTCTCTTAAATGCAGCTCCAGGTTAAAGAACTGCTCGGGGGATAACACACCAGGATACAACTCCAGAGAAACTGTCTAAGAAAAGAGAGAGACAGCGACAGAACAAGCAGCAGCTGGAACTGTTTCATCCAAGGACCCTCAGCCCTGTGCTAGCAGGAATTCCAACACAACTGCTTTGTCTCTTTAGGATCCGGACACACTGTTTTCTGCCACCTGTACTCAATTAGACTGTTCTGCTTCCCTTCCCCAGGTTTAGAATTAGTTTTCATAAAGGGACTTACATATTCGGGGGGTGAAAAAGGAAGAAAGGACTTTTGGCTGTAATAGTAGGGGGCTTTTAAAAAAAAAGTTTAAAAAGGAAAGAAAAATTAGGAGGTTGGGAGAAAGAAAAGAAGACAAAGGGAATAAACCGGGATAAATAACCTCCCTGGAAAACTTTGAGAAGGGAGCTTGATTAAGGGGGGGGGGAGCAGTATTAAGCTTTCTCATTTGCTTATTTCTATTTTTTTAAAAAATAATAATTTAGGAGTCCTTGGAGGATACACCGAAGTCAACCCAGACATACCAAAAGAGTAAGTTATGACATGACAGAAACTGTGCAGCAGCAGCAGCACTGAAAGGAAAGGAAGATAAAAATGCAAATGATAAAAAGGATGAAATGTAAATTTTTTTTTTAAAGAGAGGCAAAAGTAGGCACTAGCCAGTGACAACAGTAGCAGCAGCAGCAAAAGTAGCCTTTCCACATGTGACAATCAAAAAGGAAAAAGTCACCTACCTGCTGGGACATTCTGAATAAGAGGTTAGTGTCGGCGTTCTGCCATGTCCCCATGAAACCCGATTCGGAGTTGGTTGCCGTCCTTGTTGTTCCGAACTGCATGGAGTTGTCACTGCAGGAGTCTCTTAAAGTCAAGCCTCTTGCCCTCTTTCGTTCCGTTTGTCTCTGAATGTCTCTGTCTCTCACATCCACTTCTGCCTCTTCTGACTGAAAAGTGAAGGTGGATTTTTTTGAGTCTCTTGGCAGCCAGTAGCAGGAGTGTGGTGGTGTTAGGCTAGCTGCGTTGTGCATTTCACTGGGGGGAGAGGGGCTTTGGGGAGGGGGCAAGAGCTTCTTTCGCACCTTCTGCACAGTTACCCCTATCATTTATGCATACCCTGTGACTCCCAAAGCTCGCCTTGGCTTGGTTTTACAGCTGCCTGTCAGGTGTGCCTCATGCACTGAAGAGAGACCCAACCATCAGCTTCATACTCTCAGCCACTGGATGTCATTGGATAGCAGAGCAGAAGAGACTCAACTGCACCGTTCCCCTGTCAGGCTCCTAATGACATCTTGCATTAGCCCACTTCGGTCTTAAACAAACGCATGCACCTTCCCTGAGTCGCCTGCTGATCGGAGGAAACACGGTAGAAGAAGCCGTGGCCCTCTTCCTATTTTCTTTGAACAATCCTGTCAAGAACAGCGTGTAATTGCTGACACTTCCCTCTTCAAGGCAGGCTGTAAACCTCCTAACAGAGAGGAGGGAAGAAGAGGGCAAATCAACTCCTCATGCATACAGACAATAAGCATGCAGAACGCCACACAAAGTTGATGCGACTTTCAGGTAAATACACACACACACACACAGCCACGCACCTATTAAAGGCCAGTACGGATATCACAGCTACTTTATCCCAGCCCCAAATTTCTCAGCAACCACCACAACAAAAAGCTCTTTCCAAAAAAAAAAAGAAGAAGAAGAAGAAGAAGAAGGGGGGCTGGAAATAAGATAGCCTTCAAATTCTTTTAAATATAAAACTAGAACAATTACATATATGTTTCATCTCTCACAGCTTTCTCCTCTCCCCCTCCTGTTAACTGCCTAAATGCCTTCAGGAGCCGAAGTCAAAGGAAAAGAAGAAGTGTCTCTCCCGTCTTTTCTACAAAGATTAAACGTCTCTTTCTTTCTTTTGTCCTATTTAAACTTTAGAGAGGAAGACTGTATAACAGCCTTTAACAACTAAAAGGAAAAGGAAAAGAAGACAGGAAGAGCAAAACAGTTCCATCCCAGGAAAAAAAAGAAGACAGCATATTTCTATTAAGATAAACTAGTATTTATGAGAGATCACAAGAAGTCAAAAAGCCACTGGTATCAACAACTTTTTAAAATCATCTATATTTAGAACAATACATAGTATTTTCCCATTGCTGATATGTAGTTTGTCGTCCTATGAGGAAAAGCTGGAAGGAGGGGCAGGGAGGAGAGAGAGAGAGAGAGAAAGAGGGAGGGAGGGAGAGAGAGAGAGAGAGAGATTGAGAATGTCTACATAGAGTACACAAATACTGCAACTTTAAAAAAGAAATGTAAAGCAAAATTCACGCTCCCTGATAAAACCAACTTGCATTAAAAAAAAAAAAAAGGGAATCTTGCTTGTCTCAACTGAATGTGTAAGGAACATTCATCTTCTAATAACGCCTGCAATTTTAGAGGACAAATGTACCACTCCTGCAGTTTTTTCCTTAACTAAAGAACAATAATAAACCTTATTCTCCTCAAAAGCCACAAAAGGATCACGAGAAAGCTTCAATGGCAGCCTGGTGTCATTAGAGCGCAATGAGAAAAGATGAGGAAGTGTGCACTATGTTGACACAAATGTGTCTTCCTCTTAAGATCCTGGCATCTCCTGAAAGCTTTTCTGTTAAAACTTCCCTCCAGTTCACCGCCATTAAGCACACAAAAGTCTCAAAAGCTGCAAATTCAATATCTTAGCAGCAAAAATGAGAACTCAAAGAACTGTTGCTTTAAAATATATTAAGTCCACCTGCAGTCGAGAAAAATATTTCTGGGGATGGGGATGCAAAAAAGAAAAAAAGGGAGGGGGGGAGAAACCCCAAACAAACCATGTGAGGCAATTGTGCCAACAGTGGCTGTACCTTTACAGCTAACTATTACCCACTTAAACTCCTTCTCAAATTTGCTAGCCTCTTGCTTTCTGAAGTGGCACTCAGTCCCTTAGTCAAGCTGCCTGCCTGCTCAGCTCCTGACCTTCCGACTAATGGCTGTTATTTGTGGGAGGCTTAAGGACAATGTCAATAGCCAACTCCCCGGCTCTGCATCTCCTACGCAGTGTCTTTCTTTCCCTCCTGTCCTGCAGTCCTTCCCATTCCCGGGGAGAGAGATGAGTGGGGGGGGTGGAGGAGGAGGGAGCAAAAACCCACGCACACAAAATCAACTGGCATGCAGCAGCAAGCACCTGCAGTAATAGACTCTTTTATTAAAACTGTTATTCTGCAAGACTTGAAAATCCCAGGGGACTGGGCCATGTCAAAGCCGATATAATTAACTAGAGGCTCAGCAACGGATCAATTACCAGACAAGCAAGTGATAGTGAAATCAATGAAAGATCATCAGCCACATTATCAGTGTTGCAACTCATTAGGATAAAACTGAGAAATGTGCTCAAAGCCAGCCCAAGCAAGGTGGCATTACAAAACAAAGGGCTAATTTAGAGACCCTGCTGTGAACAATCTGTAACAGAATTAGCCTTTTTCCCCCCTAAACGGCACAGCTCAGTAACTAAATGTGACAGTCAGAGAGAAGCAGTTTATTAAGACACCAACTCCAAGTTTATTTAGTTCATAAACTCTCTCCTAGAAAATCAATACAGTCTGCACAGGGTTATTAGTCTGACTAGCTAATACATCCAAATCTTTTCTTGCCAAGCAGCAGCTAACAGAGAGAAGAAAAATTCTCAACAACCGCAGGCAATGGCATCAGGAAATACCCTACAAAAGCCACATCATGGCACACAGCAGTCACATACAGAAAGGCACTGCTGAGACCACACCGATGGAAGCTAACAAAACAGCATGTTACAGCTTTCTCACCCCTAAATACATTGAATGCTATTAAATAAATAATTGTTCTAATTAGGTATGTTAAGAATTAAGATGTAAACCAACACATGCCAATTGTCCCCAGTTCAATGTATAAGACACCAATCATTTCAGGAATAACAAAAATCCTTACAATCGTAAAACACACAAAAATTACAGTCAGGATTCTCTGCTGAAGCTGATAACCTTATCCTCACGTTTAACTGAGAGTCACACCATCTGGATCCAACAAGATATCCACATTCAGATCACACCATCCTATAGTATTTTGTTTAAACTTAGAACCTATCTGGAAACTGTTCGGCATAAATGGATGGCGGGATGTAAGAATTGTATAAAAATGTATTTCACCGCATGCTTATATAGACAGCACATTTTAGGATGCCTAAGGCGCTGACATAAATACAGCAAAATATACTAATGTGGCAACCCGTATTTACTTGCATGGTTTTTCATAGAAATAATTTCTTTATAGACATCCTGTACTACTTGAAATGCCCTTAACATAATGAAAAATGACTCATTAATTTGCTCTATAATAATATTCTTTATATTCAATCTCCAATGTTAATATTTCCCTTTGAAATTAATTATTTTCCTCCCTTGGTGCAAGGAAATTGTTACGATTTTTTTTTTTTAAATTGTCTCATAAGTATCTTACCTGACATCGATGGTTTTTTTTGTTATACTTCAATAATCATAAACACTACAAATTTACTATTATTGTAGTGTTTTGAATTGAGCCACCATAGGTCATGTTTCAAAAAAAATATCTTGAACAAACAATTAATAGATTTCTACTATCTAAACTAGCTCTGTTCTCCAGGGTCAATATTTTGCAATCTTTAAATATATTGTAAAATGAAAGAATTATCCTAACATTTTTTTCATGATATCATTGCTGCTTAATGAATGATAGTCTTCCAAGTATATAAGAAAGAGAGTAACATAATTCCCTGAATACAAAGTTATTTTGATATCAGTTTTAACTTTAAAAAGAACAATACCTCTGTATTTCCACAATTAGGTGATTGCTACTTTATATACTTTATATTCAATGCATATTGTACTTTAACTTTTTTAAATTTTGGTCAATTATTTATTCATCTTTATTGTAACATTTAAATATTATGTTTACTTAATTAGAAATTGCACATATTTAAAAATAAAAATAATGTCCTTGTGCCTCGCTTATTTTATTCACAGTTCATCTCTATCAATAGAAGCAATACAAATTATCTTTAAGGATCAACAACATATACAAATCTTTAAAATTTTATTTTCATGTAATTCAGATTTTAATTAGGAAACAACCATAGATTTTTGCATCACTTTGATGTATATGCATTGTACATATACTTTCATAATTTGCATTTTAGTTACTATGAGCATACAAGATTCAGGGGAAAGAATTCAATTGATTCTCTAATCACAAGAAATAATGGTTTTTACCCCCTATAAAGATTGCTATAAGCATTAATTCCCACAACTAATTGTTTACCTCTTGTACTGATGTTTACAACATTTCTTTTCCTAACTTGTATATATTTACTATACATATAGAAAGTTTTGTTAAAGAAGGAAACATGTTTAGGTAGGTTTGCACAAGATTGCAATATGAACCTTTCACTTGAATGCCAAGAAAATCTAGTGCAGAGTCAAGAACCTTCCCAAAATATGATTCCTATCCATGGAGAAACAAACAGAAATAAAAATCTGTTTAAGAGTTCCCTATATAGCTGTTGTCAATTAAATGCATGCAGGTATACCATCTGATTAGGAGCTTTCTAAATCATAAATATATGGCAATTAATGAATATATCTAAGAAGCTTTGGCTTCTCATACTCATGTACTTAAAGGTGAAGGAACAAGGTTCTTCCATAACAGAAAGCCAAATTTAGTATACTTCCAAAAAATGTTTTATATATAAAAAAGTTATATCAGAGGAACATTTAGCAGTACAAAAAGAGAAGAATAAATCTTCTACCATGGAAGGCCATGCTAGCTCCATTTTTGTTTTTTTACCTCTCATCAGCAAGACTTTTTGACTTTTAAGCTGATTTGGTAAATTTAATCTGGGGTTGTTGCTATTTATCTTAAAAACACATCA